CGCGGGGTTTACAGGGTCAAAGGAGTTTTTTTAAAAGTTTTGGGTTTTTGGAAAAAGGAAGGGGATGCTCAAATTTTGTTTGCGGCAAATTTTGGGAAAAACAAATAAGGGGGAAAAAAGTCCTGGGGTAAACCGAGCAATCCCCGAGGTTTCCCCCAAATCAAGTCATGAAATTGGGAAGGCAAGAAGACCGCGACACAATATGTTAGCGGCCAAAGTCTGCAAAACCTCACTAGAAAAAATTGGGGGTGAGTATAACACGGCAATCTCCCGAGGCGCACTCATCGATAACTGCTGCAGCATACGGGGCCTGGCAAACCTACGGATAGCGTTCCGATACCTCAGTAAGGATTCGTTCAAGACTCTGTATACCATTTACGTCAGGCCATACTGGAGTATGCAGCACCAGTTTAAAATCCACCCTGGTCAAGCACGTCCAAAAATTAGAGAAAGTGCAAAGGTTTGCAACAAGACTAGCCCCAGAGCTACGGGGATTGTCCTACGAAAAAAGGCTGAGGGAAATCGGCCTGACGGACACTGGAGGCCAGGGGGGTCAGGGGAGACATGAAAACGACATATAAAATACTGCGGCGGAATAGACGAGGTCGACAAAGACGGGATGTTCCAGAGAAGGGACACAGACACAAGAGGTCCCAATTGGAAGTTGAAGACTCAGATGAATCAAAGGGATGTAGGAAGTATTTCTTCGTCATAGAGTAGCCCAGGCTATGGAATAGCCTAGAAAGTGAAGTGGTGGAGGAGGGAACCATACATAGGTTTAAGGCGAGGTATGATAAAGCTCATGGAACAGGGAGAGAGAGGACCTAGTAGCAATCAGTGAAGAGGCGGGGCCAGGAGCTATGAATCGATCCCTGCAACCACAAATAGGTGAGCACGCACACACACACACACACACACACACACACACACACACACACACACACACACACACACACACACACACACACACACACACCTACCTTCCTCTTCAGTAAAACATCGTACAACACCAACAGTTCATTAAGACACTAGTGCAACACTTGGGTATCTTTATCGTCAAATAAAGTTTCGGAGGTGTTGCAGCAGTGTATTATCACGTCTGGCTCTGATTATTACCCGAGTGCCAGCACTCAGACGCTCACCTGCAGGGTGCAACCAGCACCAATTTCCATAACAATCTTGCAAACCATTCCAGATGTAACTAATGGAGGGAGATTGAGAAATGTACACACACACACACACACACACACACACACACACACACACACACACACACACACACACAACAGAAGTGTCTACCGACAACCGGTAACTAACACACCTGTGGAGTGGAAGACTCACCTGAAGGAGAGGTTAATCAAGAACCCCCCTCCCCTTCCCTCTAAAGGACTCACCTGTAGGAGAGAAGGGAAGGGTTGCCTGAAGCAGAGCAGGTGAGGGTGGCAGTCTGTCCTTCCCTGTAGCCATCCTGGTCATGTCGTATCGTCACTTCAGGAGGGTAGCTCACCTCCAGGGTCACCTGAAATTCATCACAGGTGAGTGTAAGTATACATCCGAATACACAGCCCGTACATGTAAGTACATAAATAAATTATATGTAATACACATTCTCCTCGCAACAAACAACAAAGATTTATAAGAAAATACATGCACACACCTGAATCATGCAACAAATACACCTGCATCAAGCAGCACACTCTTGAATCATGCAACACACACGCATCTGCATCATACAATGAATACACACACCTGCATCATACAACACTTGCATCATCATGCAATACCCACACCATCCACCCATATCATCATGCAACAAATACACCCTCATCATCATGCAATATACACACACCTTCATCGTCATACAATAAATACGCACAACAGAATCACCCATAATACACACCCTTGTATGTATTATACACAATATACATATATGAATTTTCCTAAAGGAATATATCCCTATATATTAAATTAGTAATATATTCCAGTACAAGCATATCTGCTTTAATATAACAAAAACAGACATACACTTTACAGTATAACAAATACAAACATCAACAGTATCTTAATACATGTATATATACACGCTTCGTAAGGACCGTACGCAATGTATTACGATTTACTGTGTAAATTCAACGTCTATATTAGCGCGCGCGGTATATATATATATATATATTTTATATATATATATATATATATTATATATTATATATATATATATATATATATATAATATATATATATATGTCGTGCCGAATAGGCAAAACTTGCGATCTTGGCTTAAATAGCAACGTTCATCTTGCCATATAGGACAAGCGAAAATTTGTGTATGCAATAATTTCGCCAAAATCATTCTGAACCTAACGAAAAAAATATATTTCATTGTGTGTTTGTTTAGTATTAAATTGTTGTAAACAAATGTAAAATATATTTAGTTGGGTTAGGCTAAAATAAATTGTTCTTGTTATCATAAGGTTAGGTAAGTTTTCTAAGATTCTTTTGGTACAAAATTATAAATTTTCACATTAACATCAATGAAAAAAATATATCTTTAAACGTATAAGAGAAAATTTTAGAAAGGACTTAATTTTAAATGAGTTCTTGCTAATTGACCAGTTTTACCTATTCGGCACTACATTTTATATATATATATATATATATAATATATATATATTTATATATATATATATATATATTTTATATATATTTCAACAAGTCGGTCGTCTCCCACCGAGGCAGGGTGACCCAAAAAAGAAAGAAAATCCCCAAAAGAAAATACTTTCATCATTCAACACTTTCACCACACTCACACATTATCACTGCTTTTGCAGAGGTGCTCAGAATACAACAGTTTAGAAGCATATACGTATAAAGATACCACAACATATTATATATATATATATATATATATATATATATATAATATATATATATTAATATATATATATATATATATATATAATATAAATATATCAAAACAACCACTGTGAAAGAACAGAGAAATTCCAAGCGCTTTCGTGACTACTCACATTATCAAGGAACAATGTTCCTTGTAATGTGAGTAGTCAAGAAAACGCTTGGAATTTCTCTATTCTTTCACAGTGGTTGTTTTGCATATTCTGAAATCACCTGTTTACTGTGATCTTATTGCATAATATATATATAATATATTATAGTCGGACTGAGTCCTGGAAATGGGAAGTACAATGCCTGCACTTTAAAGGAGGGGTTTGGGATATTGGCAGTTTGGAGGGATATGTTGTGTATCTTTATACGTATATGCTTCTAAACTGTTGTAATTCTGAGCACCTCTGCAAAAGCAGTGATAATGTGTGAGTGTGGTGAAAGTGTTGAATGATGATGAAAGTATTTTCTTTTGGGGATTTTCTTTCTTTTTTGGGTCACCCTGCCTCGGTGGGAGACGACCGACTTGTTGGGGGGGAAAAAAAAAATATAATATATATATATATATATATATATATATAATTATATATATATTTATATATATATATATATATATATATATATATATAATATTACATCCTGTATCGCGTACAAGCGATACAGGATGCAAGACAACTACGTAGAGAGTTGAAAGATAGCTCTAGACCTTTCCTGTTTCAATTACACATCAGGAGTTTGGAATGTTGTAGAAATGGGTAAGAAGTCGAGGTAGCATTGCTCAGGGGAACGACTTTATTTAGCTAGAGAGAATCACAACGTGTTTAGCTAATCCAGCAGTGTGTGATCGTCATTGCATTCACCCACAGCCCGCCAAACCCACGTGGGTGCGGGCATTGTGGGGATAAAGGGGGTCAAGGCAACTCACCTGGGTTCTGTGAGGCTGATGTAAGGCTGGGTTGGAGGCGGTGCAGGTGAAGACAGCGTTGTGGTGCTCCCTGGCCGCCAGGAAGCTCAGGGTGGAGCGCGCGTTCCTACGATGACCATCCTCCATCACCTCAGTGGAGTACTCCACTCCCTCCGTCACCACGCGTCCAGATCCGTCCAGCCACTGGATCTGAAGACAGGACGGATGGTTAAAGCCAGGGAGGGGAGAATGAAGGTGGGAGGGTAGGGAGGGTGGTAACTGTGTCTGGTGGAAGGAGGAAGAGTCAGTCAAGAGGGGGTGGGGTCAGTCCCGATGGTGGGAGAGGAAGAGGGAGTGGAAAGTCAGTCTAATGGAAGAGGTAGGGAAGGAAAGGCCTGATAGAAGATGGAGGGAAGGAAAGTCATTCTGAAGGAAGGGAGAAAGGAGAGAGAGTAGGAGGGATCGTAGATCAGCTTGATGAAAGGGAAAGTTCAGTACGAAGGAACAGAGGTTAGTACAATAAAAGAAAGTGGAAAGTATGTGTTGATGAGAGGGGAGGATCCGTTTGATGGAAGAGAGGGAGGGAGGGAGGGAGGGAGGGAGGGAGGGAGGGAGGGAGGGAGGGGGAAGATGAAAGAGTGACTTGTAGAAGAGAAAAGTGACTTGTAGAAGAGAAGAGGAGGCCACGAACCAGAGGTAAGGCCCATAATAAAGAGAAAAGTGAAATAAATGGGGAATAAAGTGAGCAGGAAGAAAAAAAAATGAAGGGAGGAATTAGAAATGAAAGCAATGTCTAGAACAAAGTGAAAAGATGGGATGAATAGAGAGGTAGAAAATGGAAACTGTGAGAGAGATAAAGAATGACGAGGCAAGGTAGAATTAGAGAGAAGGAGAGAGCTAAAGAGGGGAATTTGTATTATTATAATTAATATTATTATTAATTACATAATTAATTTGAAGCGATAAGCCCGTATGTGTTATTTAGCAGACTTGGAAGGCTCGATTCTCAGTCTGGTAAGAGACAAGATAAATATACTGCCAACCTGTGCCTTGTGAGAATGACCGGCAATCAAGTTTGATCCGAGGAAGGGAAGGGAGGGTAGCTCCCATTCCTTGGATCATGAACTCTTTACCAGCGTTTAGGAGAGATTTAACGCATCCGACACTCCTTTAGGAGTATTTACCACCTGCAGCACTCCTTCAGGAGTGATTTATCACCTGTAGCACTCCTTCAGGAGTGCTTTACCACCTCCGGCCCCGCCGTAAGGAGAAACTCACCTCTGCTGCAGGTTTTCCCCCTCTGGAGACACAGGTGAGCTGCACTCCTGCCCCGGCAGTAGTAGTGACGACGGGCCCTTGGAGGATCTCCGGGGGTTCCGGGGCACGTATACTGTCAGTTTGGCCGTCTGGGACCTCACGCCGGGTATGTCCTTCCATCCCGTCACCTGGCACTGGAAGTACGAGTCGTCCTCGAGGGTGACGGGGCTTATGCGGAGACTGAAGTCTCCTGCAGGAGATGAGAGAGAGAAAGGGGAGGGGGGTGTTAAATTGACGTCTCTGCACCTCAAGTACCTGGAGATAAGGAAGGTCTGGTACCAGCCGGTTGACTAGTTATTAGTAGTAAAAGTAGTAGTAGCAGCAGCAGTGGCATAAGTAGTGACATGAGCAGCAGTAGTAATAGTAGTAGTCGAAGTAGCAGTAGTGATATTTACAGAGTTCTCTTAGCATGCATTTACACACACACACACACACACACACACACGCACGCGCGCGCGCGCGCATATACAACAGGCCTAGTGTCTAATCGACATGTGCCTTGAACAAAATGGTAACACACACACACAGGCGGAACCAGGAGCTGTGAATCGACCCCTGCAACGACAAATAGTAAGAACACTTACACACAAATAAAACGAAAAATAAAATTAACAAACAACAACAACAACGAATATAAACGTTCTCCATAAATACCATACCTGGAACCCTATTATATTAGGGACTTTATCATACCAGGAACTTTATCATACACAAGACATGGGTATTTATAGGGGCAGGAGAGAGAGAGGGGTCCCGAAGTCAAAGATAGAGATCAGGAAGTCACATGTGCGTAGTCTGTCGTGTAGACCAGGCTAGGTAAACACCTGACTTCATGATGAAGTCAGGTGATCTCGGCACATGACTTCATGACCTCATTCTCTTACCTCTGGACCTCCCTTCCTTCCTCACTCTCTCTCTCTCTCTCTCTCTTCTCTCTCTCTCTCTCTCCTCTCTCTTCTCCTCTCTCTCTCTCTCTCTCGTCATTCTCTACAAGAATAAATAAACCTGGGTGGGCAAAACGTTTTCATAAACACAATTCAATAACCCACATTCCGGTCAGATGACCAAAAGCTCCAGCGGCGGGTCATCTTCTAAGACCCGCGTCAGGAAACACTCGTCCTGTTTCCTGACGAATCTTACCTAACCTAACCATTACACTTGCTAAAGGATTTATCGCAGAATCTGTGTACGTTACGCCTGCCTGATGCTCGTCTTCAGTGTCTACAAAATCAAGTTATTACGGTCCAGCTAGGAGCCATCAAGTGCCTGGCACTTGGGAGTGCCACAAGTATCTGTCATACATCCATACAGGATAGCTTTTTGGAGATTTTTAAATTCCCTGTGACTGGCAGACCCATTCAAAAGAGTGATATTATGTTGTGTTAGGTAACCTTGTCTTTCTTAATGTACTATGTGATGTGTGAGGTCAGAGCTATCATCTGTAATGTGTGAGGTCAGTGCTATTATCTGTAATGTGTGAGGTCAGTGCTATCGTCTGTAATGTGTGAGGTCAGTGCTATCATCTGTAATGTGTGAGGTCAGTGCTATCATCTGTAATGTGTGAGGTCAGTGCTATCATCTGTAATGTGTGAGGTCAGTGCTATTATCTGTAATGTGTGAGGTCAGTGCTATCATCTGTAATGTGTGAGGTCAGTGCTATCATCTGTAATGTGTGAGGTCAGTGCTATTATCTGTAATGTGTGAGGTCAGTGCTATCATCTGTAATGTGTGAGGTCAGTGCTATCATCTGTAATGCGTAAGTCAGTGCTATCATCTGTAATGTGTGAGGTCAGTGCTATCATCTGTAATGTGTGAGGTCAGTGCTATCATTTGTAATGTGTGAGGTCAGAGCTATCATTTGTAATGTGTGAGGTCAGTGCTATCATCTGTAATGTGTGAGGTCAGAGCTATCATTTGTAATGTGTGAGGTCAGTGCTATCATCTGTAATGTGTGAGGCCAGAGCTATCATCTGTAATGTGTGAGGTCAGTGCAATCATTTGTAATGTGTGAGGTCAGTGCTATCATTGTAATGTGTGAGGTCAGTAGCTATCATCTGTAATGTGTGAGGTCAGTGCAATCATTTGTAATGTGTGAGGTCAGTGCTATCATCTGTAATGTGTGAGGTCAGAGCTATCATCTGTAATGTGTGAGGTCAGAGCTATCATTTGTAATGTGTGAGGTCAGTGCTATCATCTGTAATGTATGAGGTCAGTGCTATCATCTGTAATGTGTGAGGTCAGTGCTATCATTTGTAATGCGTAAGTCAGTGTTGTCATCTGTAATGCGTAAGTCAGTGTTGTCATCTGTAATGCGTAAGTCAGTGTTGTCATCTGTAATGCGTAAGTCAGTGTTGTCATCTGTAATGTGTGAGGTCAGTGCTATCATATGTAATGTGTGAAGTCAGAGCTATCATATGTAATGTGTGAAGTCAGAGCTATCATATGTAATGTGTGAAGTCAGAGCTATCATATGTAATGTGTGAAGTCAGAGCTATCATATGTAATGTGTGAGGTCAGTGCTATTGTATGTGTGTCATGTCAATGGTATAGTATGTGTGATGTCAGTGCGACCGCTTATAATACATGATGTCAGTGCTATCTTCTGTAATGTGTAATGTAAGTGCGATCGTGTGTGTGTGTGTGTGTGTGTGTGTGTGTGATGTCAGTGCTATCATCTATAATGAGTTGCAGAGGGTCTGCAGTTGTTATAGACGAGAGTGCTTGTCAATTACTCTATTCACACTGAACGGCTAAACTTGTAGGGGCTCAAACAGCGCCTGGGGGAAAGGGGAGAAATGGAAACAGTCGCATCCGATCCAAGGGGAGCACAGGTCTGAGTCCGTGGATCAAGAGCCCCTCACATGCATCAAGGAGAGTACTGTGTGTGTGTGTGTGTGTGTGTGTGTGTGTGTGTGTGTGTGTGTGTGTGTGTGTGTGTGTACTCGCCTAGTTGTACTCACCTAGTTGAGGTTGCAGGGAACGAGTCCTAGCTCCTAGCCCCGCCTCTTCACTGGTCGCTACTAGGTCACTCTCCCTAAACCGTGAGCTTTACCATACCTTTGCTTAAAGCTATGTATGGATCCTGCCTCCACTACATCGCTTCCCATACTATTCCACTTCCTGACTACTCTGTGCTGAAGAAATACTTCTTAACATCCCTATGATTCATCTGTGTCTTCAACTTCCAACTGTATCCCCTAGTTGCTGTGTCCCATCTCTGGAACATCCTGTCTTTGTCCACCTTGTAAATTCATCTCAGTATTTTGTATGTCGTTATCATGTCCCCCCTATCTCTCCTGTCCTCCAGTGTCGTCAGGTCGATTTCCCTTAACCTCTCCTCGTAGGACATACCCCTTAGCTCTGGGACTAGTCTTGTTGCAAACCTTTGCACTTTCTCTTGTTTCTTTACATGCTTGGCTAGGTGTGGGTTCCAAACTGGTGCCGCATACTCCAATATGGGCCTAACGTACACGGTGTACAGGGTCCCGAACGATTCCTTATTAAGATGTCGGAATGCTGTTCTGAGGTTTGCTAGGCGCCCATATGCTGCAGCAGTTATTTGGTTGTGTGCGCTTCAGGAGATGTGCCTGGTGTTATACTCACCCCAAGATCTTTTTCCTTGAGTGAGGTTTGTAGTCTGTGGCCCCCTTGACTGTACTCCATCTGCGGTCTTCTTTGCCCTTCCCCAATCTTCATGACTTTGCACTTGGTGGGGTTGAACTCCAGGAGCCAATTGCTGGACCAGGTCTGCAGCCTGTCCAAATCACTTTGTAGTTCTGCCTGGTCTTCGATCGAATGAATTCTTCTTATCAACTTCACGTCATCTGCAAACAAGGACACTTCGGAGTCTATTCCTTCCGTCAATCCTAGGACTGACCCCTGTGGGACCCCGCTGGTCACAGGCGCCCACTCTGACACCTCGTCACGTACCATGACTCGCTGCTGTCTTCCAGACAAGTATTCCCTAATCCATTGTAGTGCTTTCCCTGTTATCCCTGCTTGGTCCTTCAGTTTTTGCACTAATCTCTTGTGTGGAACTGTGTCAAACGCCTTCTTGCAGTCCAAGAAAATGCAATCTGCCCACCCCTCTCTCTCTTGTCTTACTGCTGTCACCATGTCATAGAACTCAGTAGGTTTGTGACACAGGATTTCCCGTCCCTGAAACCATGTTGGCTGCTGTTGATGAGATCATTCCTTTCTAGGTGTCCCACCACTTCTCCTGATAATCTTCTCCATGACTTTGCATACAATACATGTCAGTGACACTGGTCTGTAGTTTTGTGCTTCATTTCTGTCTCCTTTTTTAAAGATTGGGACTACATTTGTTGTCTTCCATGCCTCAGGCAATCTCCCTGTTTCGATAGATGTATTGAATATTGTTGTTAGTGGTACACATAGCGCCTCTGCTCCCTCTCTCAGGACCCTTGGAGTGATGTTATCCGGCCCCATTGCCTTTGAGGTATCTAGCTCACTCAGAAGCCTCTTCACTTCTTCCTCGGTTGTGTGTACTGTGTCCAGCACTTGGTGGTGTACCCCACCTCTCCGTCTTTCTGGAGCCCCTTCTTTCTCCTTTGTGAACACTTCTTTGAATCTCTTTTTGAGTTCCTCACATACTTCACAGTCATTTCTTGTTGTCTCTCCTCCTTCCTTCCTTAGCCTGATTACCTGGTCCTTGACTGTTGTTTTCCTCCTGATGTGGCTGTATAACAGCTTCGGGTCAGATTTGACTTTCGCTGCCATGTCGTTTTCATATTGTCGTTGGGCCCCCTTCTTATCTGTGCATATTCATTTGTGTGTGTGGGGGGAGAGTATTGTATGTGATGGGGAGTATCGTGTGTTTGATGGGGAGTATTGCGTGTGTGGTGGGGAGTATTGTGAGTGTGGAGAGTATTGAGTTTGCGATGGGGAGTACTGTGTGTATTGTGCATGTGAGAATACTCTGGAGGAGAGAGTAATGTGTTGCCTGTGTAGTGGGGGAAGACACTGGTGCGCTTCCTGCATCCTTTACATTAGCCTTCCCTCCGAATTTGAATGGGCCATTACTGCTATTGGCTATTGCGGCCAATTTTGAGTGCACATTAGGGGTTGCAACAGCCATCATTGCGCTGTGTATTGTTCTGCCGGGGTATGTATTGCTGTTTACAAGGTCGTATTGCATTAGCTATCTCCCTGAGAAGTCGTAAAAGATGAAGGTAAGTCTTCCTTTGTGCATGCCCCGGAAGCATCGGCTTTGAGATTTGTGTTTGTGTATACGCTGTTGAGCGTAGTTGTGCTTGCAGGATCCTGGAGACAGACCGAGACGAAGGATGGAGGAAGGATGGGGGGGTCAGTGAGCCTCGAAATCTTCTACTGGTACAGTTACCGTATCTTATCTTATCAACCTGTCGGTATACAAAACCGACAAGTTGATGAACAAGACACGTGTGCAACACCTGGGTATCTCTATTCTGAAGACGTTTCGCCCACTAGTGGTTTTTATCAAGTGAATGCAGAGTTAATCAGTCCCTTAGCCTTGATAAAAAAGTATTCACCTCCTTTGTTAAGTGATCAAGATCCCAGGACCGAAACGATTTCTAATAAATATGTGTTAGTGTTTGCTCTAGTGTTTTTCTAAACCAGTTTGTCGGTATCTATTACCAAGGTTTATACCATCCCCAGTGATACACAAGATTCAGTTTTATTGTATTTCAGGAATGGTAGGAGTGCAAGCACTGCAGCTATGGGGAACACCTCACCCGCGCCCTAGAGTCCAGTACACAAGCATGACTAGAGAGATAGAGAGAGAGAGAGAAAAAAAAAGTGGGTGTGTGAGCAAGTGAAGGGAAGGGAGGGGTGACAGAGGTAAATAAACCCAAGCCTCGTCATGGTGCTTGTTACTCACCTTCCTCGTCAGAACCAATCATGGTGTACCGCTTGAAGGCGTACAACTCCCTCTCGTTACCCAGACCGAAGTCGTCCCTGGTCCACTGCAGCACTCCGACCTTATTGATGATGCGACACGGCAGCACCACCGTCGACCCGATCACCGCCGTCTGCGGTGACGGCTGGTTGGCAAATTTCTGCTCAGCCTCGGCAGTGACCACCGCCAGGAGCAGCAGCCAGGTTCCCGCTGTCCACCAGTGCCAGCAGCCGCGCTGACGGCAACTGTGTTCCTCGGTCTTCATCTGAGGGAAGAGTGTTGTACAGTTACCATCAACATGGAACACGCACAACTTTTCATGTCTGTGATTGGTTTTGCGAGTTTCTCTACCCTCGTAACCAGTCACAGTAAACTTTAACTTAGTAGTGAATCAATCTCCATTGCGCTTAATACACTAACTAGACCAGGGGTCCCCAACCTACCACAGGCTACATACGGCCCTCAGGCCGATTGTGGTCCTTCTAGAAAATGGATGCGGCCCTCACATGAAATTGTGATTTCATTTTTATGTTTCACACTACACAGTGCCAACAGTTACAAAATATTAGTAGTATTCATAAAAAAATATAAAAATTACAAATTGCGATCCTTCTTTAAATTTGGCTTTTCAGATTGGCCCTTCATACAAGACTGAACACTACTGCGGTATATGGAGTCAGTATTTACTATAAATGTAAATATTATTATTATTATTATTATTATGATTATTATTATTATTATTACTAATCATTACGAATACAACAGCGTTGACATCTATATAAAATCTTCACTGCTTAGTCAAGCAGGCTGTCATTGTAGGTTTTCACACATACCACAACCTCCTAATCAACCAGGCTGTTGCTGCAAGCCTTCATACGTACCACAATCTCCTAATCAACCAGGCTGTTGCTGCAAGCCTTCATACGTACCACAATCTCCTAATCAACCAGGCTGTTGCTGCAAGCCTTCATACGTACCACAATCTCCTAGTCAACCAGGCTGTTGCTGCAAGCCTTCACACGTACCACAACCTTTTAATGTTCCTAGATAACGAAGAGCTTGAAAATGTCTTGGACATTTATGAGACCGCTTTTTCAAATGGTCTCGAAAAGGTCCCCATAACATATAAGAGAACGTTTTAATCAGTCCCTGAGGGACTTATTACCTCATCTTTTGTACATACTTCCACATTCTTCACATTATGTCCTTATAATGATAAAGCCAATGGATGGCTTTATTAATGCAAATAGAGATACCAAGAAGTTGCACGTGTGTCTAATTCATTCATATACAACAGATATTTGTATTCATGGTATTTTGTGCATCTTCTGTAAACTGTCAGTATATTCTACCATTGTATTACCGTTCCGTCTGGAAAAAAAGGGTCTTATAAAAGTCATAATTAGTGAATGACTCTTTCGACTGGCTTCAAACTTTCTTTAAGACAGGTGTATAGTAGCTTAGTCGAAGTGGAAGGATTGAATTGGCTTTGGGCCAATTTGACATTTTTGTATTGAAGGCACCGGGATGTTGGTTTCCATGTGATACCCTGTGACTGCCTCTTCTGAGGTAGACAGGGCTGGGCTTGTGGAATACGGGGATACCTTTCTCGGATCGCTAAGTTAGTATTACAGAATTGTGTAGGCTTTGCTATCAAGCAAAGTAGAAGAGTCTGTCTGTCTGTCTTTCTCTCTATCTCTCTCCCCTTTTTTTCTTCCTTCCTGCGACCATCTCATTCTATCCCACCTAATACGTAATTTCAAGAAATACGTGACTCGAATTGTCAATCTATCCTCCTCTCTCTCTCTCTCTCTCTCTCTCTCTCTCTCTCTCTCTCTCTCTCCCTCTCCCCTCACACACACACACACACTCTACCTTCTCCTCTTCTTCCATTTCTTTTCCATCCATGGTCTACCTATTCTCTGGTATATAGAAACCCATTCATTCCCTCTTTCTCTTCCTATCACTTTCTTCACCCTCACCTCTTTCTCCTCCTCCGTCTATATTCTCTCTTCTCTTTTCCTGCTCATTTTCTTCTCTCCCCCACCTCTCCCTGCTGCCTCCATCTTTCTGCCATCTACTCTTTAGTCCTTCAGTTTCCACCACACGCGTTCCACATACCTTCATTCTTCTATAGTGTTCTCTCCCTTACTGTTTCTCCATCCCTTCTCTCCTTTCCACTTTCATTCCTTTCTTCCACTCTCCATTCCTTCTCTCCTTTCCACTCTCCATTCCCTCTCTCCTTTCCACTCTCCATTCCTTCTCTCCTTTCCACTCTCCACTCCTTCTCTCTCTCCCTCTCTCTCCCTCGTCATCCATATCTCTTTCCCTCTCGTTTCTCAACCATTCCCATCTTCCCTTTCTCTTATTATTGATTCCTCCGCCTCCTCCTCCTCCTTCCTTATCTCCAGATAATCGTAGTATTATTTGTACCAATTCCTTCTCCTCCACCTCCCTGTCTTATTTTTCACCGACATTCCGCTTTCCTTTAAAGTACAAACAACCTTATTCCCCTCTTTCTTTTCCACTCATTTCTTCCTCCTTTTTCCCCTCCCTTACCCTCTGTTTCGCACTACCTCCCTTAGGCTCTGGAGAATAATTTGTGGCCGTGCTGGTAGGCTAGTGTCGTGTACTGGGGTCAGTGTTGCCGTGTACTGGGGAGAGAATCAGTGCTGTCGTGTGCGGGGAAGAGGGTCAGTGCTGTCGTATACTGGGGAGAGGGTCAGTACTGTCGTATACTGGGAAGAGGGTCAGTGCTGTCGTATACTGGGGAGAGGGTCAGTGCTGTCGTATACTGGGGAGAGGGTCAGTGCTGTCGTGTATCGGAGAGAGGGTCAGTGCTGTCGTGTATTGGAAAGAGGGTCAGTGCTGTCGTGTATTGGAAAGAGGGTCAGTGCTGTCGTGTATTGGAAAGAGGGTCAGTGCTGTCGTGTATTGGAAAGAGGGTCAGTGCTGTCGTGTATTGGAAAGAGGGTCAGTGCTGTCGTGTACTGGGGTGAGGGTCAGTGCTGTCGTGTACTGGGGTAAGGGTCAGTGCTGTCGTGTACTGGGGTGAGGGTCAGTGCTGTCGTGTACTGGGGTGAGGGTCAGTGCTGTCGTGTACTGGGGTGAGGGTCAGTGCTGTCGTGTACTGGAGGGTCAGTGCTGTCGTGTACTGGGGAGAGGATCAGTGCTGTCGTGTACTGGGATGAGGATCAGTGCTGTCGTGTACTGGAGTGAGGATCAGTGCTGTCGTGTACTGGGGAGAGGGTCAGTGCTGTCTTGTACTGGGGTGAGGATCAGTGCTGTCGTGTACTGGGGTGAGGATCAGTGCTGTCGTGTACTGGGGTGAGGATCAGTGCGGTCGTGTACTGGGGAGAGGATCAGTGCGGTCGTGTACTGGGGTGAGGATCAGTGCTGTCTTGTACTGGGGTGAGGATCAGTGCTGTCTTGTACTGGGGTGAGGATCAGTGCTGTCGTGTACTGGAGTGAGGATCAGTGCTGTCGTGTACTGGGGTGAGGGTCAGTGCGGTCGTGTACTGGGGTGAGGATCAGCGCTGTAAAGCAGTCCTGGTAAATCCTCTCACTGATACGAGTGTCACATTTATGCAAGGAAGGTGTGCCCACCAGGACACATGACTCTCCCCCGCAAGGAAGGTGTGCCCACCAGGACACATGACTCTCCCCCGCAAGGAAGGTGTGCCCACCAGGACACATGACTCTCCCCCGCAAGGAAGGTGTGCCCACCAGGACACATGACTCTCCCCCGCAAGGAAGGTGTGCCCACCAGGACACATGACTCTCCCCCGCAAGGAAGGTGTGCCCACCAGGACACATGACACCCCCCCCCCCGTCCACCTGGAATCAAAACCTCAGACAATATTCTACATGAACTGGTCAAGTCTTCACCAACACCTTGAATTTCACTCTCCACAGTCGCTGAATTAACAGGATTTTGTAAGTTATCCGCGTGTCTGTGTGTACACTTCATATAATGGGACCTACAGTCAACACTAAGTAGCTAACGCTATTATGCAGCAGCAGCAGCAGCAGCAGGACGACGACGACGAACAGGTAGTGGGGTGTGATGCATCTTGCTTCAGTAAATAGGGTAAATTCATAACGAAAACAGTGTGTGGTGTTCCGCTTTAAATCCCCTTCATCAAGAGCGTCCAGCAGATGTCTGACGCCAAGTTAGTAAATCATTACCACGTGTGTGTGTGTGTGTGTGTGTGTGTGTGTGTGTGTGTGTGTGTGTGTGTGTGTGTGTGTTAGTTAGTTACCATTTTGTCCTAGGCACATGTCCATTAGACACTAGGCCTGTTGTATGTGTGTGTGTGTGTGTGTGTGTGTGGTGGTGTGTGTGTGTGTGTGTGTGGGTGGTGTGTGTGTGTGTGTGTGTGGGTGGTGTGTGTGTGGGTGGTGTGTGTGTGGTGTGTGTGTGGGTGGTGTGTGTGTGGTGTGTGTGTGGGTGGTGTGTGTGTGGTGTGTGTGTGGGTGGTGTGTGTGTGGTGTGTGTGTGGTGTGGTGTGTGTGTGTGGGTGGTGTGTGTGTGTGTGTGTGGTGTGTGTGTGTGGTGCGTGTGTGTGGTGTGTGTGTGGTGTGTGGTGTGTGTGTGTGTGGTGTGTGTATGTGTGTGGTTGTGTTGTGGTGTGTGTGTGGTGTGTGTGTGTGTGGTGTGGTGGTGTGTGTGGTGTGGTGTGTGTGTGTGTGTGTGTGTTGGTGTGTGTGTGGGGGTGTGGTTGTGTGGTGTGTGTGTGGGTGGTGTGGTGTGTGTGGGTGGTGTTGTGTTGTGGTGGGTGTGTGTGGGGTGGTGTGTGTGAGTGGGTGGTGTGTGTGTGTGTGGGTGGTGTGTGTGTGTGGTGTGTGTGGGTGGTGTGTGTGTGGTGGGTGGTGGTGTTGTGTGTGGGTGGTGTGTGGTGTGGGTGGTGTGTGTGTGTGGGTGGTGTGTGTGTGTGGGTGGTGTGGTGGGTGTGTGTGTTGGTAGTGTTGTGTGGGTGGTGTGTGGTGTGGGTGGTGTGTGTGTGTGGGTGGTGTGTGTGTGTGGTGTGTGTGTGGGTGGTGTGTGTGTGGGTGGGTGGTGGGGGGGGTGTGTGTGGGTGGGTGTGTGTTGGGTGGTGGGTGTGTGGGTGGGTGGTGGGTGTGGTGTGGGTGGTGTGTGTGTGTGGGTGGTGGTGTGTGTGGGTGGTGTGTGTGTGGGTGGTGTGTGTGTGGTGTGGGTGGTGTGTGTGGGTGGGTGGTGTGTGTGGTGGTGTGTGTGTATGGTGTGTGTGTGGGTGGTGGTGT